CTGGGGAAGGAGGAGGAAGGACGGTGGCCATTATGGTCCTAAGGACAGACCTCTGAGGTGTTTGCCAGATAGGGTCCTGCTTCTTCCCAGGCCCTGGATCCCTCCTCCCTAGGCATCCGGGGGAAGACTCACCTCTTGAAAGTCTGAGGCCTCCACTCGCAGTGTCTGTGGCAGCCCTTATAGTGGGTATTTGAGGAAGTGGAAAGAGGCAGGGTGATTGCCCCAGGCTGGGTGGGGGCAGTGGAGCTGATAAGAAGTTTTCTCAGTCCTCTCCCCTTGAGCCCTGCTCGCTGCTGGGGCTGCAGGGACCTGCCTCTTGCGGTCTGCTGCCATATATGGGTGCCCATGCACCCTGGTGTGCCCAAGAAGACCCCAGATGTCTACTGTCCAGGCAAATCTATTATTAGTGCCCCTAAAGAGCCCCAGTCTGAACAATACTTCTTAACCCCAGGAGCAGCATTCCTCCGGTCAATATGCCAGCAAATGAAGTGCAGAATCCAGGGAGCTGGGAGACCACGAGCAGAGGAGGTAGGAGGCAAAAGGAGCCTTGGCCCCCTTGAGCTCTTATCCAGACCAGGTACTTTATATGCATCACGTCCCTGAATCTTCACCTTCACCTCATTCCCAGGAGAATGTAGGATTATTCTTACTTCACAGACATGAAAACTGAGATTCAGAGAGGGAAGGTGACTTGCCAAGTTTACACAGCAAGTGGGAGAACTGGGATTTCTAAGTCTTTTTGGCTCTAAAACCTCTGTCTCTCTGTCTCTCCCTCCCTCCCTCCCTCCTTTCCTCACTCTCCTTCTCCCTCTCCCTCCCTTTTTCACACTTAATGTGTGAGAAACCTATGCTGTTTCTTCTGTGCTGTGGATCTAGTTCAAGGTTCTCAACCTTTGCACCATCACTATTTGGAGTCAATTCTTTGTTGTGGGGGGCTTCCCTGTGCATTGTAGGAAGTTTAGCAGCATGCCTGGTCCCTACCTACTAGAGGCCAATAACACGTCCCCCAGTCATGACAATCAAAACTGTCTCCACGCATTTCCAAATGTCCTCTGGAGAACAAAAATGCCCCAGTTGAGGATCATTGACCTGGAATATGCCATTTTGTCCAACCTCAGGTCATATCTTTTGGCACAGAGGCAACAGCTGGAATGCAAAGCTTCATGCAGTGTCATTCAGACATTGGTGGACCAGCCTCCCCACCCCATCCCACTCTCCATCTCCAACCAGCCCTATGCCACCACAGGGTCAGGACTAGGAGGATGTGAGTGAAGCACTCGCCTCAGGTGCAAAATTTAAGGAAATACTGAAAAAATTGGTAGTCAAATAAATAATATTTTAACGCAATATTTCTTAAAAATCCAAATAAATGCAAAAATATCAGAACTTCCATCAACCAAGCTCCGGCCTAATTCAGTGTAGTCGAAAGAGAGGGCAGCAGGTGCTGAGCCCTAACTTTGCTGGATGTCACTGCCAAGAGCTAGTGAACGTGTTCAGGTGGGTGACTCAATTCTGTGACCTCCTGGCTTTCCTCAGATTCCAGCCCAGTCCTCCGGGACAGGTACAAGTAGCCCAGGGCGCCAGGAACAGGTAGCCCAGAGGGTGAAAAGGCCTGGATTCCTTCCTCTCCTCTGCTCTCCCAGGGGACCTACAAATGGAGAAGTATCTGAGCGGTCACTTCTGGGCCTGACTGCAGAGTAACGGTCTTGGCTGATATCTCCCCAGCCCAACGGACCAGACCCTCAGCTTATCTACCTAGCTGGGGGGCATTGGCCAATTCCAGGGCCCCAAAACCTGGTCTCCGGATTTCAAGCTTGAGACCTCTTAGTGGGGGTGGGGGGTAGAGGACTAGACCTCCTCCTCATTGTTCTCCCCCATCCTGGGATCCAGGCCAGGAGCACCATTTCACTCAGTGGTTGGGTTGATCAATAAGGTTGACTACTCTCATGAGCCAGCACCACGATAAGCATTGTTTAATTTCAATGGCCCTGTTTTACAAATGAGGAAATGGCATCTCAGAGAGCTTAAACAAGGTGCCCAAGATCACACAGCAAGTCACAGATGGGCCTAACCCAGAAGCAGGCTCCTTAACCACCCAAGACTGCCTTCCATCTGCCTCCTCTCACTGACCTCCCCTCTCTACAGCCTGCTCCTCCTCCGCATTGACCCACTTTTCTTTGCGCACGAACTCTGGGCAAAGACATTCCAATGGCTTCCTCAATGACCACAGTGATGCCTGTCTAATTTAAAACTGGAAATAACATTGTTGAAGGTCCATCACGGACCACACGTTATTCTTCATTAAGGCTTTTACATCCACTATCCTAATTAATTAACGTTTAAAATTATCCTACAAATTAGGTATTGCCATCTCTAGTCTTCATATCTACTACAAAGGCTCAGAGAGGTTAAGCAACTTGCCCACGTTCACACAACTCATAAGAGGTGGCGCATCGGGCCCTAGTTTATCTGACTCCCACGTCCTTACTTTCTTTGACACACCCAAATGTGTTACATCCAGACAGTCTAGCCAATGATGCCAACGTGTTCAACATCCGTGAAATTCCAAGTCTGTGGCTTACTGTTTGCATTTATGTTCACAGGGGTTTCAAACTCTGCCTCTTGAGATTTGGTCCAACTCCACATTATGCAGAGGGTGGGTCTCGCCGTCTTGAGAAGCAGTGTTGTGTGACGTGTAATGCAATCACAAGTCCCAGAGTCAGTCCTCCGTGTCTCAGGTTTCTCATCCATAAACTGAGGCTAATGACAGAGCTGACCTCTAATGAGATCAACTTCAGTAAAGCTCTCTGAATAGTGCCTGGTCCATGAGGTTGGGAGTGGCCCTTGTCAGGAAACCAGGACTGGAGCTGTGACCCTAATCCGCAAATAAGCCCTGAGTGTTGATTGAGCTCTGCGCTTTGCATGATGTAAGGAACTCCAGAGATTCAGTTGTAATATCACGATCTTAGTGTCACAGAGCTTAGTCAGTATCTTGTTGGAAAGGAAAAATGCACTCATATTTTGGAATGTATAGCCAGTCCCATTATTTCGTTATTTCATTTTTTTGTGGATGTATAACAGGCATTTTCTCAAGTAGGATGGACTGCTCAGGGAATTTTTACAGACTGAATGCACCCACGTATGTGTGCCCACATCAAGATACAGAATATTACCAAGATCCCAGACATCTCTTTCATGCCGCTTTGTTGACGTTAACCCCCCAAATGGGTTGTCCAAGGACTGGAAATCACACAGCTGTCACAACTCACACCCCAACAGAAGAGATTTATGAGGATCTGCACCTACCACATAGCACAGAGCCTGGCATCTAGTAAATGCTTAGTAAGTGGGAGATTTTGTTACTCTTTATTATTAATATAGGAATACAGGGAAGCAATGCCTTCCCACACCAGAATATTAAGTCCACGAGGGCAAGGAGTGAAAGTTCTACTTCAGCTGCATCCTCCACAGCACCCAGCACAGGGCTGAATCCATAACAGTGTTTCAGAATTCCACCGTCTTTGTAATCAACAGACTATCATGGAACAGTTACAATATTACAATGGACCTAAGTTTGATTTCTATCTCTTTCTCAACTTACTGTGCAACCTTGAGCAAGTAGCTTCTCCTATCTGGGCCATACTCAAAAAATTAAAGGTCTTGATTTACCTCTCCCTATGACCTTGGTCCCATTTGTAATTCTCTGAATTTGAGGGGTTCTGGAGGAAAGGGGCTTCAGGGCATTGATGCCTTACTTTCTGCTCATCTCCCTAGTGAAGAGACGGTTCAGAATGCCTTCCTTCCTCACTTCTGATTGGGACGCCCTCATTTCGAGCTAGGTTCGAGTCTTATACCCCATGATGAACCCAAGGGTAAAAGAGTCCATCCAGCCTCCCTACTGTGTTCCATGCCCATATGATGATGTCCTGGAGGGGAGAGCAGCCAATGCTTCCAGCCACGGAATCATAACGATTAAAGGAACATGCTCTGGGGCAGTTAGTCAAATCACCAACATTGGACACATTTAGATGTACAACCTTGGGCAAATCTTTTAACAGGTCATAACTTCTTTGAGCCTAGTGCTGTAAAATGGGATAATAATTATCAATCAGACAACGTCATCTAGGTAAGGTGCCTACCACAGAGCGGGGTACTTTGTGGGTGTGCAATAAGTGGTAACAATTAGTAGATATTGTTGTGCTTATATTATAAACAACTGTATGTTCCTGAACGGCTGGGGGCTGTGTCCTATCGCATTCCTAGGCCTTGTATAGAGTTGAATATATAGCAGGTTGTCTGATATTGGGTTTCCCCAGCAGCAGACCCTGAGACAAGGATTTGTGGGCAAATTTATTTGGGAAGTACAAGGGCACTGGTAGGGAAGAGAAGAGTTCAAAAGAAAATGTGTGTTGTAAAGCCAGCTACCTCAGTGGGTAACTGGAAGTTAATCCCACTGGCAAACAGTGCCCAGTACATGCTTCCGAATTATTCTACCTGCGGGGCAAGGACTGGGGTTCTCATACGCCCACTCCTGAGAGTTGTCAACTGTTCCCAGAACATATTAATTTCCTGGCACATTAAGGCAATCGCAGTCTGTAAGAGAGAAAAAAGGCCAGGACATTGAGGGTCCACCCTGAAAGGTTTGAGAGAGTTCGGTGGGGTCCTGGCAGCACCTGTACACAGGTGCCAGGTAATTGGGCGTGCTAGGAAGAGCTAGCTGAGCCCACTCCTCTGTCTCCAGGAAGGCCCCACAAATCTCACCCCATGTTTTATCCTCATTGAGAGTACTAACGTTCATGACAGACAGTGGAGTGCGGAGTCATTGTAGGGCAGAAAGTTCGTGAGTGGGGCTAAGCAGAGTGGGTCAATGATGAGAGGAAAAAGAAATAAGTTTCAGGAAAGCAATTTTATTGCTGGGGGTGTGGAGGAAGGGGCAGCAGGCATGAGAGGGGAGGCAGTGGCCCAGGAGGGGCAGCTCTGAACTCCTGGCTGGGTCGGGCTCAGTAGGAACAGATGAACGGGAGCAACCTGTTGCACTGATTTAGGCTCCAGTAGCCTCCTGTGAAGGCAGAACAGGAAGGGACCTTCAGCCTCTTGTTTCCCCTGACTCAGCACCAGGAGGGTCTTTCTCCCTCCCCACCCGACACTCCAGTGGAGATGAAGTCTAAAGTTCCAGGAGCGCGTTCCCTTGGAGAGTCCAGCTCTTCTTAGCACCTCCTCCATGAGGCCCTCCTATCTCCCAGAACTCTTTATCTTTCATCTCCACTCCCAATTCACCATGGGTATCCAAGGACACACAGTTGCCAGTATGGGTAGAAGGTTGTCTGGGAGCCCAGTACCAAAAGTTCCAAGCACTGCCGTCCATCCAGTAAAACTGCCTGGAGTGACCCTAGAGGAGGGAGGAGGGGAGAAGGTGGGCTAGAGCATGAGCCAAAGTGAAAGCAGGTAGGCAGCGCTGGAACTGTCCCTGTCTGGTCCTCCTGCTGCCCTCCAGACATTTGCCTTGCCTGCTGGACCATGACGGACACTGTCCCGGTCAAGTGTAATGTTGATCCACAGTGATCATCACCTCCACATTCTACAAATCCCTGTGACGCACTCATCCTTCTGGCCCTAACAAGAGGTGCGACAAGAGTTTCAACCCCATCCTAGAGATGATCAGAGGCTGAGTGGAACTTGAACCCAAACCTCCTCATTCTAAATCCTTGGCTCTTTCCGATGCCTAGGCAACCCCCTTGGTGTCTTTCCCAGATGTGTATCTATTCCCAATTCTTCAGGGGATCATACAGCAGAAGCACAGACAAATCTAAAGCAAGTTCAGCACTCACTTGGGTCAGGAGAGGCTACCCACTTAAAGCTAGGACCCCTCTTACCGAGCCTGCGATGGAGCCTCCAATCCAGACTTGACCCTGGTTGATGTCTTTGACTGAGTGCCAGATACAGTAGTTAAAGTGGATGTCATGGATGGAAATGAGGTTGCCCCAGTACTTCGTCTGGCAAGTATGCTGCAACGCAGGATAAAAGAGGAATAACGGAGTGGCCATCCCACAGGAATTCACATGACCTTAGCCCTAGGTCTCTAAGTCTCCACAATTACCTCTTACCCCCTCTTACCCAACTCTAACACCTCTGTGGGCCTCAGCCCCTGGTAACACCCCCAGGTTTCTCAGTGAGGAAAACAACCAGTGACACAGAGGCTGGAGACATCCCCTCTCTGTCTTCCTCCCCACCCCAGCCCTCAGCCTCAGCCACAGCCCACTCACCTGAGCTTGGTTATACATCATAGGCGTACTAACTACAAGAAAGCAGCTGGTTTTGTATCCAGGGATGCCCACCAGTTTTACTGTCTCCTCTTCCTTAGGACACTGAAAGTCCTCGTACACCTCACCTAGGGCAGAGGCAGACTTGACAGCCTCCTCTTCCTCAGGGGCGTCTTCACTTCCAGAGCACCCTTCCTCCTCTTCCTCTGGCAGCATCAGTCCCTCCACAGGAGCCTCCATTGCCTCATGTTCTGGCATCTCCCCATCCTGAGGCAGGGTCTCATCTCCCAAGGGGCTCTCAAACTTGGATGTTTCAGTCCCTGGCAGAGAGAAAGGCCAAATGCTCCTCCCTCACATCTTTCCCTGTTCCTCCCCAGCACCACGGACAGTTCCGACCTTGCCCTAGGCATCAGGGTGCTCAGCCTTGGAAAGAGAGGAACCTGGAACCAAGCCTCCATGAGGACAACCCAGCCTCCACCATGAGGTCATGGCTTGAAGGGCAAGGACTTAGCATCAGGCAGTTGTAGGTTTGGGTACCGATTCCATCATCTACTATCTTTGCTTCGTTGGTGATAAGGGTATACACTACTACATTCCTCATGGGGATGTTATGAGGATTCAAGGAGATGATGTACAGAAAATGCTGAGCCCAGTACACTCAGTGAGCTCAAAGTGAAAGGAAGCCATTGTTGTGATCATCATTAGCATTAGGTAGAAAGGACAAAATTGAGAATGTCATAGTAGAACCAAGACTGCAGATATACAGATCCCCTGAGGAGTCCCTTTAACTCCAGGCTCGAGAGTCCCTGCTCCTTTAAATGCAGAGATTCTGAAATACGGGATGGCCAGAGGAAGAGGTGGCTTTGTGACTCTGACCCTATGTACTGTAGAAAGGAGCAAAAGAGAGAAAGAAAGACTGAAGGCCAAGGAGACTTACTCAGATGAAGAGCTGAAACTGCCCCAAATAGAAGAGCCAGAAGTAGGAGGAGTTTCACCTTGGCTTTGTCCTACAATGGAGAACACAGTTTGTCATACGCACACGCACACCACAGCCACACCATTAGGGGACCTTGGGAGTGAGGTGGAGAAAGAGTAGGCATGAAGAGAAGTCAAGATGGGCTAGAAAAGCTAATGCTGAGCCCAGCATCTGATGCTCCAGGATGCTAGGACCTCTTTCTGAATAGAATGAAGCAGACAATGATGAACAGCCAAGGTTGGCTTTCCTGTGGACCTGAATGTGAAGAACGGAATATTACTTTTATTTGTTTGTGCCTAATGGGCCACTCAGAGTCTATGAAACAAAGAGCATCAAGAAACAATGATTGTTGGCCTTCCTAGGAACACACAGCACTTAGAAAGTGGGTTCCCTCCTCAAAGCTCAAAAAACCCCATGTGCATCTCTGCCTTCCCCAGCCAAGGAGAGCTTTCACACACCTCAGAAGGAATGTGAAAGGCAGAGGAGGAGAATTCCTGTCGCTGCTGTCACCCATGCAACCTGAAAGCCACACACAGTCCCAGCGAGCCTTCCAGAACCTCTCAGCCCAGGCCAGGCACCTCCCAGGTGATTGAACATTATCTGGAACAAGCTCCACTACATCAGAGAAAGCACTTACCTGCCAAGAAGTCCTCCTGGGTCCTGAGGATTTCCCAAAGTTCAGATCCTCCTTCGCTTCATCTCACAGTGACATTTTGTATAGGGGCCTTGGAGGAAGCTCCCCAGAGGAAGGAGGGTTTGCCAGGCGTGAGCGAGACAGGAGCGCTGATAAGAACCATTTCTTCACTTCCCTCGGGAGCCCACTCATTCGCTTGCAGCTTCTCTCCTGTCACCCCTTTCAGGAACTTAGGGGCCATTCTGAGATTGCTCTGAGCCAGTGGTTCTTATCCTGGGCTGCAGTTCAGAATCTCCTTGGGAGCTTTTCCAAAATGCACAGCTCTCCTGCTTTACTGGTGGGAATGTGAACTGCCACAGACGTTTTGGAAATGAATCTGCCAATATCTATTAAAATTAAAAGTGCTCGTATCATTTGATCAATTTCAGTCTTTGGAGAGTCTCCTTTGGAAACAAAAGTACCTGTAAGTAAGAACACTTTTACAAAGTTGCGTATTGCTTTACAGCTTGTAGAAATGAAAGGCTCCATGGAAACAAGGAGCTGACTCTCAACTTGACGCATCAGTGGTGAATAGAGGGGAAGGATACAGGGGCATTCCAGGTGGAAAGAACAGCAGGAGCAAAGGTGTGTAGGTGGGGTGACCTTGGCACATGCACAGGACAGTGTCCTTTCCTTCATAACCAAAGTTCACAGTGTACACATTGGAAAGGAGCGGGACAATCAGGGAAGAATATATCCCATCTTAAGCCAAGGAATGGAAATATCCTTCCTCTGTAGCCACTGACTTAAGGAGACAGAACCAGAAATAAGGGAATGACTTAACAATAAGCCCGACAGAAGCTTTGAGCTGGGTTCTGCTCACTCTCATCCCTAGGCCCTCCCTGCAGGGCCGCTTTGCATGTCGGACAGAACAACTACAGTCAGTGACAAGACAGAGCCGATTCTTGGAGGCCAGTTGGCTGCTCAGGCACCCCAACCCCAATGGAAGTCTCTTCTTTAGGTCACACAATCCACAGTCTGAAATCCACAGCTTAGTGACCCAGAAATTCCATGTATGAACATCCAGTGGAGGTATGGAGCAGTGTCTGAGAGTGTGGCTTCTGGAGTCTGACAGTCCAGGTTTGAATCTAGGGTCTACCACTTAATAGCTGTGTGACCTTGGACAAATTCTTTAACCTCTCTGTACCTCATACCATTGTTTATAAAGTACAGATAGAAAGAGATAATGCATGTGTAGTGGACATGCTGTGAGCTGCCTGCTCCCTCCCCACCTTCCTGAGGTTTCTGGAATTCCTCTTCCTATGGATTTTGGTGCGGAGCAGGCCTCTCATTATTGAAGATGAAAGTGCCAAATAGGTTCCCCACCTCCATTGCAGCTAAGGCACATGACTAGACTCTATCATATAGAAACATCCATTCAAGACTTTGAATCTGGAGCTAGTGACCAAAAAAAGGGGTCCAAGAAGACATCTCTCTGGTCATGGCAACAGCAATATCAAGTTCCTGGGGCTGCAGTGGCCACAGTGTTAGAGGATGGATCCAGGGTCCGAAGTCTGAATCGTAGCAGTGGCAGTCAGATCCTGACCTGTTCTGTGGCCTGGTTTTGGCCCCAAGTCTGGTTCTGTAGCCCTTCCCGCAATTTTATGAGCCACTACACTTCCTTTTCATAAATTCATTTCTCTACTCAGATCAGCCAGGAGAGTTTCTTTTGAATGCACTAAGATCCCTGACTGATGCAGCCTTTAGCACAGGAACTGGCATTTAGTCATTGCTCAACAAATGACAGCTACTCATGTTACTAGACCCAGAAGGGATCAGGTCTTTGGGGCTGAACCCACATCAATCAAACTCTCAGCAGACCGATGTCTATATCTGGTTCCAATGAGATAATTTAGGTTGACCTATACCAACAAGGAGCTCACTTGCCTGGGCCTTCTGATCAGCACATTCTCTCCTTGTATCCCAAGCTAGAGCATGCTTAGTAGACCTGGATTTTTAATGGGAATAAAAAGCTTGAGGTCTTGGTGTCCAGCGCCTTTGAACAAGGAGACCTGAGGCCCATCATTTCCACTCCAGCCTCAGGCCTGCCATATTCCCCTAAGAAGTGTTAGATCAATACTGCAAGATCCTGAGTCTTAGGATTCCGCTTTTCTGGCCTCAAAGTTACTCCAGCACCTAGATGTCCCTAAAGAGACTCAGTTACCCATTTCCATATCAGCACTTGCGGGGAGGATCCCAGGAGACCATCTCTGAGTTTCCTCTTTCTTAATCTCATTCTCAGGGGCTCATCCCAACTTTGGGTTCATGGGGGAGCTTGCTGTAGGCTTGAAGCAGCCTGTACAGGGGCAGATCTGGCACTGAGGGGTATGCCCTGCCACAAGTGCAGGCTGCTGCAAAACGTGTCAACATGTGTGTACAGGGCACTGGGCAGAGGTCACCTTGATGATGGTGGCCAATACCAAGGAACACAAGTTTACATCCTTCCCATGACCAACACACAGCAGCTTGAAGGTAGAAAGCTCTGCAGCTCCACACACCCAGCTCACACCGTTTAGCCCTCACCCCTCCTGCATCCCTCTCCACACCCTGCCCCAGGGTTTATCAACCTGGAAACGATGAATGAGTTCAAGGGGCCATGAACTCTGCAATCATAGACAACTTACGATGTGATGTTTCCAGGGTGAAGGTCCCAACCTTTCATGAGATTCTTTATGGCCTTACAAAAGGCAAAAGGACCGTTAAGTTTACTGGATGATTTCTTCTCAAATTGCCAGGAATGACCTCCAACCTTCTTCACCAAAAATGTCCTGCTTGGCCCTTGAGATAGTCAGGATTCTAAGATGCCCCCAAGACCTTTTCCCCATCCCCACGTACACATGCTGCACAGTCCCTGGGACTGTGAATATGCTGTAATCTTACTCCTGTGGTTGTGTTGTGTTATACGGCACAGCTGACTTTAAGAAAGGGAGATTATCAGTTAGTCTGACCTATTCAGGGGAGCCCTTCAAAGGGACAGAGCTCTTCCTGAAGTCAGAGATTCCATACATGAGGGGGATTCAACCTGAGGGAGATTCTCCATTGCTGGCTTTGAGAACGGAGGGGGCCATGTGGAAGGAATGTGGGGAGCCTCTAGGACCTGAGAGCGCCCCCTTCCGCCCCCCATCTGACAGCCAGCAAGGAAACAGGGACTTCAGTCCTACAAGTACAAGGAACAGAATTCTGCCACAACTAGTGAACTTGAGAGAAGAACCTGGGCTCTAGATGAGACTGCAGCCCAGCCAACGCCTTCATTTTAGCCTTGTGAGACCCTGAGCAGAAAACCCAGCCATGCTGTGCTCACTTATGACCTATAGAACTGGGAGCTAATAAATGTGTGTTGTTTGAAGTCACTAAATTTGTGTTGATTTGTCATGCAGCAGAGAAGACTAACACAGCCTTCAGGGCCCACTTCCTTACCAGGATGAAATTTATATTTGGTGCGGTTGGTGGGAGAAGGCAGGGCGGATTGACACAGGGGACTGTCCCAAAGGAATGGGCTGGAGGATCTCCTGGAAAAAGATCCCCGGGGTCAGCAGATCAGCAAATATGGACAGAAAAAAAGAGATGTTCGATTCAGGGCAGAGATCACACTACCCTTCCCCTCAGACCATAACAGGCTGGGAAGTCACTTCTAGTTCCAATTTCTGCCCTCAGAGAAGTGATGGACTTCAGGGACCAGACCTTCAGGGCTGATCAACTGCCTGCTGCCTGGGCTTGGCCAACATCCCTGTGGGGCAGATAAGAGGTGGTGAAAGGCCTAACATCATCCAGGGGTCAGCAACCAGGGAGATAGAGACCTGGACCGTTGCTCTGTGAAATCAGTTTCAACAATATCTCCTCGGACACTTCCCCATTTGCATGCCCCAGTGATAGACATAGACCAACAATACTAGTGCTGGAAGGGCCATTAGAGATGACCCAGTCCAGTCTCCATGTCTCAGATGTGGAAAGCGCCCTGGACTGGACTCAGATGTCCTGATTCCAAGTTCAGTGCTCCTCCTGCACCCTCCATGAGATTACCCCCTGATTTCCCTCCAGGTACATCCTTCCCCTCCAGGCACCTCGTCTCCCAGACACCCTATACACACAGCAAGGTTGGAAGGTATACACAGTCAGTGCCTCCCCCTGCCCCACCTTCTGCCTTCAATATATCCCCAGTCCATCTACTTCTTTCCACCTCTGCTGCCACCTCCCTAGCCCAAGCCACCATGTTGGATAACAAACATCAGAGCACATTATTCCCATGTTTCCCATTCAATGTCTTTACTCTGCACTAGCAGTTAATCCAAACACATTCCCACTGCCTGCAAGGCCCTCTGTGGTCTGGCTCTTGTCTACTTACCCAAGCTCACTGGTATGGGTGACCCTTGTCATACTGGCTTCACCTCCACTGACCAAGTTAGAGCTTTTGTATTGGCTCCTTCTCATCTGCAGGTCTCAGCTCAAAGGTCGCCTTCTCAGAGAAGCCTTCTCTGAGAACTCTTTCTAAATAGAGAAGCCCACTCATCCCACTCTCATGTCTAGTTACTTCATTCCACATCATCCCATTATTTCCATCAGAGCATTTACCAAAACGATACAATCTTGCTCTCAGTTTCTTGTTTATTGTCTGTCTCACCATTAGGAAGAAAGCTCCATGAAAGCAGAGACCTTGTCTTTCTTGTTGACTGCCTGGAACTTGACCCAGATCATTGGGTAGAGTTTTTCAATTATATGCTGAATTAATTAATCAGTTAATTGAGCCAGCCGTGATGGCCTAGTGGTTAAGTTTGGTGCGCTGTGCTTCAGCTGCCCAGGTTCGGTTCTTGGGAGCAGAAGCACACCACTCGTCTGTCAATAGACATGCTGTAGTGGCGACTCAGATTGAAGACATAGAAGGACTTACAGCTAGAACTATGTACTGGGGCTTTGGGGAGGATGGAAAAAGAGAGAAGAAGATTGGCAACAGATGCTAGCTGAAGGAGAATCTTGCCCAGGAAAAAAATCATAATAATAATAAATAAAAATATCTTTTTAAAACAAAGTGTAAAAAACTTTAATCAATTGGTTAATCGACTTGAACTTTACCCCCTGGAGAAAATCCAGCTGAGTTTAGGTCAGAGCATAAGTTCATTAATTTCAATTCTACAGGTATTTTTCTGAGTCCCACCTGCCATGGGTACAATCCTGGGCCAGGCTCTGTGCTCTGTACCTCTGTGCTTC